AGACATCAGGTCCCAAATAATGACCAAGTGGAGCTTGGGCTGAGATGTATTATTGACCAATCAATGAGAGCCAGAGTGATTTGGGTTTAAGTCATGGTCCTTAAGAAAGAAATCTAGCCTGTAAAACCCAACATATCCCTCAGATGGTATACCCCCAGGTCTTATCCTATTTGGGCAAAGTCCTCATCTCCCTTCTCTCTTCACCCTTCAGGTGCTCCCTTCAAAAGCATTCGTCAGTAGTATCCCCTCCCACCTCTCAAGTAAGGCCTTTTTTCCTCCCCCCTTTCAATCTCCCCTGCCCCTTTTCATCTTTCACCCCTCCTGTTCCCCTAGAGGCTATCAGATTATGAGACCATAGAAGCCACCTTCCTCTCATTGCTAGCCCTTGATTTAACCCAGGTCTGGCACAGAGTAGGCATTTAATAATTGCTTATTGATTATTACTGACTTATCACCAGAGTAAAATCACAATGTAGTTGCTCTAACAGCTCCCTAGTCCCTTATACTCCAGGATCACAGAATAATTTTCAAAGTAGGGTTGGCAGTTTAATTTCAGGTCCTTGTAAAAGTCATGAAACTAAAAACAATTTGGTGAAGGGGGCAAATGGAGTAGGATAATTAAACCAAACTTAAATGATAAGATTTTTACGGTTAAGTGATTAAGATCCATCAATCATATAACCTTAAGTTATTATTCTATGCCAGGCATTGGTGTAGGGATACAAAGGCAAAAATGAAAGTCTGTGAGCTTACCAAATAAAAGCAAAATAAATATAAGGTAAATTGAGATGAGGGGAAAGATCAGGGAATGGTTCAACTAGGTGATGGCACTTGAGCTGAGATTTGACATAGTCTGTGCAAAGGAAAAACAATGGTAGATATGATCCTGTTATGTGTGAGGAGCAGCACATGGGCCAGATGAGCTAGATAGCAGAGTTAATTAGAAAGGAGTAAGTGGAAAGGTCATCTGAAGGCAGATGGTTAAAGAGCTTTAAATATCAAACAGGGAAGTCCTGTAGTAATATTACTTTGGCAGCCCTGTGTAAAATCACAACTAAAAGGGAAGATCTGGATAACTGGGCAGTTAAATGGTACAGCACTGGCTCTGGAGTCAGGAAGACTCATCTGCCTGAGTTCAAATCTGGCCTCAGACAGACACTAGCTGTGTGATCCTGGGCAAGTTACCTTCCCCTGTTTGCTTCAGTTTCTCCATCTGTAAAATAAGCTGGAGAAGGGAATGACAAACCATTCCTGGAGCTTTGCCAAGAAAACCCCAAATGGGGTCAGAGAGTCAAACATGACTGAAATGACTCAACAACACCTGAGTAATTACATATAAAATACATGATAAACTCACAGATGTTTAATATGCTAAAAAATTCTTTTTAGCTAAATGACTTCATTTCATGAAATTTTCATGAAATATTAAAAAGAATTTCATTTAAATATTAAAAGAATCAGAAGCCCCTAAATGCAGAGTGGATCACCCAATAAGAGAGACTTATGGAGAGGCATGGGAAGAATCATATAGGATAAGATGTCATGTGGAGTGGACCAGGTGAAATCAACTCAGGCCATTCTGGAGGCTCAGGGTTTGAGACTTGAATAAAATGAAACACTTGCAGATCAAACCACTAACAAAGAAAGACTTTAGTTGGCAATAGCATGGAAAAGATATTCAGTGAGAGCAGAGTATTGATTCCACAGGGGGTAATTTCTGGGCTTCTGTGCTCTCCATGCTGGTCTTCTGGTCAGAAGCCTGAGGGAGAAGCAAGTTAATTGCTCATGTCCAGTCGTTTTTTAGGTAGGCCACCAGGAAACTACATAAACAGCCCAGGCCTTAGTCCTTTGAACCAATTAAGCCTTAAAGATAATTGCAATACCTTTTACCCTTCCTGGGGGAGGGCCTTACACAGCAAGGACTGGCTGTAATCCTCACAGGTGGAAGGAGAACCCACCATAATCACGGATCCATCTAAGTATCAAGTCATTTACAAACTCCTCTATTCTAAAGAATATTGGGGGGGCAGGGGGAATACAATTCTTACACAGAATGTGTAACCCTAGTACAGCAAGTACTCTGCACAGAGCAAGCATTTAACTGTTCTTGGTTGAATTGCTGAATGGAAACAGCTAGAAGGGACCTTGAAATCTTTCCTCATTTCATATTATAAATCATAACTCATATAATGAGATGAAAGACACTAGGCCCAGAGAGAAGTGACTTCTTCCAAGTCATGCAGCTACTTAATAGCAAGGCTGAGAAGTGAACCTAAGGTTCCAAAGGGTCATTCCATGACTCTTTTTACTATACAGGGCTGACTCCCCAGTTAAACTGTGTTTTGTATTTTACAGAGGCAATGTGGCAGAAAAGAGTGAGATGGCACTGGAGGTAGGAAGATTTGGGATCAAAACTACTTCTGACACATATTAGCTGTGTAAACCCTGACTACCTTTCTTTTGAAGATGCTAAATGGCTGTGATTTGTGGGATACCAAAATCTTTAAGGAGTCAAAATTATAGGTCACTCAAAGCAGGAAAGGCTCACAAAATTATAGGCCACTCAAAGGAAAAGGCCCACTCTGGTTGTAAGTGAGCTGAAGCCTATTACCAATAAGGAACTGCATACAAGGGGCAGATTGCATCAGAGATATATAACCAGAAAAAGATGTGGGCCAGACACATTGCAAAGAACAGAAGAGATGGATGTGCTGAATTCGCACCCTCATAATGCTGAGACTTAGGGGATGGCCTTGAGCATACTGTGGGGTTCTTCCTGCAGTGGATTTATGGTAAGAGATGGGCAAGAATCATATAGGTTGATAGGTCATAATTTGTACAATCAGGAGGTATCCAGATTAATGAGATCACAGATGGTTCTCCTCCTACCTTCCTGACCATTCCTTCTTAGTCTCCTGCTGCTTCATCATCAATGTCATGCCCACTAACTGAGTATATCAAATATATCCCAGTGCTATTGTCCTGGTTTCTGTCTATATTTTCCCTTGGCAACAATGCCAGCTGCCCTAATATACTGGAAATACAACTTAATTTACATGCAACACAGTTATCCTAAATTTAAGTAATCCCAGTTAATATCAAATTGGTTTTTTTAACGTTCCCAGTTCCGTTTGTCTCTTTTACTGTACCTTACATATCTTTAATTTCTTTTCATAGTGACCTAAGTTCTCCAATTCTATTCCCACCTAATCACAAGTGAAGATGGGGTCTCAAATCAAAGATTAGTAAAGCCTGATCACAGACTCACCCTACAGGCAGCCCCCATCTCGATGGTCATGTGTACATCTAAACCTGTCCCCACAAAAACAAAGAAAGGATCTTGCCTATGTCTGAAGTCTAGCCGCATTTTTTTTTAACCATCATCCTTTGATGTGAAAATAACCAGAAATATTTTTATAGGTATGGGAATAGATCACAAACCACTGTGAAAAATGAAAAACGCTTTTGAAATGTTATTAGCCACTCACTTTCCCAAAGCATAATAAAAAAATGCCTTTCCTCATAGTCCAAATGCCCATTTATAGCATTAACGACATGAAATTATATTTCAGTTACTACCATTTTCAGCATGTTATTGGGTATTAACAGTACATAAAATGCTGCATAGTTGAGGAAGATGCTTTGCTCTCTGCAGGAAGACCTTTAGAGCATTTTTCAAGGGGAAATAATGTGATCCTTAACGAAGAATACAAGGGTCAACTACGTGAAACAAGAGAAAAGCATAATGAAGCATGCCACCTACTATTGGACAGAGAGGTAATGAATTCAGGGTGAAGAATGAGACATCTATTTTTTGGATATGGCCAATTTAGAGAATTAATTTTGCCTGACTATGCATACTAGTTACAAGGAGGTTTTTGGTTTTGTGGTTTTTTTTTTTCCTTTTCCAATGAGAGAGAGATGTTAGGTTGAAAGGAGAGAAAATAAATTTCAGTTAATTGGGAAAAAATTAATTAAAAAAAATCTAAATGGATCACCATTTGGGACACCTATCTTCCATTACTGCTTTCCTGGCTTTTTTCTATGACTGGTATTAGATGATATGGTCCACAAGAAGGTGATCAGGATGCTCTCTGAGAGTGAAATGGGCAGAATCAGGAGAAGATTGTACAAAGTAACAGCCATACTGTGCAATGACTGACTTTGATAGACTTGGCTTTTCACAGCAATGTAAGAATCTAAGACAACTCCAAAAGACTCATGCTATCCACATGCAGAGAAAGAACTATGGAGTCTGAATGCAGATCGAAACATACTATTTGCTCTCCTTTTCCTTTGTTGTTTTATTTTATTGCATCATTCTCATGGTTCCTCCCATTAGTTCTAATTGTTCTTTACATCATGACTAATGGGAAAATATGCTCAATATGAATGTATAAGTAGAGCCTGTATCAGATTGCATGCCACCGTCTGGGGGAGGGGAAGGAGGTGGAGGGGAAGAAAATTTAACTCTAAATCTTATGGAAATGAATGTTGAAAACTAAAAATAAATTAATTATTAAAAAAAAAAAAGGTGATCAGGATAGTAAGGGACCCAGGACCACATACCCATCTAGATGGTGTGGAACCTAAGTCACACTCTGTGTGTGTCCTGCTAACCTCCACCCTCAATACTTTTATATCAGGTTAAGATGGAAGATCAAGGAAAACCTTGAACGGGTAAGAGTCACAAAGCCAACCTCAGAAGTCACCTAGTCCCATGCTTTTATTTTACAGCTGAGGAAAATCTAAGCCCAGAGATCTTAAATGAGCCATCCAAAGTCACACAGCTAGCAAGTAGTAGAGTCAGAATTCAAACTCAGGGCCTCTATGACTTTCCAGTCATTCTAGCACACCACATGACCTGAAGCAAAATCTAGTGCTCCTTCTCTTACTACAGAGAAACCATAAAAATTCGTTCTTTGGGGATGTCATGTAATTTGCTTTTTTTGCTTTGGGGGCATACACACACGCATACTTTTTATTAATCCAAGTCTTACCGTTATGGTCGTAAATTTCTGGAGGCAAATCATAAGGCACAGGAAAAGAGGTTGCTGGCTCCTGGTTTTCTGAAAAGACTTTCCTCTTGACTTTGAAGGTATCCATTCCCTGAAGAAACAGAGGGTGATATTACTAAGGCATGCAAAATTCTGGGAAAAGAGACGCTTTATGGAACAAACGTATCTTTTATGAAATTTACTATCCAATCCAAGTTGGTTCAGGGAAGTTAAAAAGCCCCGAGAAGCCAAATATTTTCCCCTCCATTCCCACCCAAATCATCTTTCCTATTCTTTCATCTAAAACGTTACTTAAAAGGAAGAGAGGCTCAAGCAGGAAGAAATCTACAAGCAGATAATGCCTGTACAAATTTCATAGAGAGAAAATGGAACCAATTTTAGGCATCACAACCCATTTTCACCATAATCCCACATAAAGTTTGTAGGGAGCTCATGTAACTCACTGTGCAAAAACACCTCCAAGTACATTATTACCAATTTCCCAGACAGGCACTGTCACAATAATAGGCTACTTGTAGTAGAATAAGGTGGAGGATGTGACTGCAAAAGTCCCAGCAGAGGTAGCAAGAGCCTGAGCCTAGGAATTTGGGGTATGGCAGTAGGGAACAGGGAGGTGAGAACAGAAACAAGATATAGTGAATAAAGGGCCAGAGAGCGTCCCACTTGCTGAATTCACCAGAGATGAGCTCTGTGATATAAGTTTTGAAGAGACTTCAAATTATCTAGTTGAACATCCTCATTCTGTGGTTGAGGACCAAAAGTTGAGAGAAGGGATGGAAACTGCCTAGGGCCAAACAGATAAGAAGGCCATTCAGTGAGGCACTGAAGATGAGAGGAAGGTTAAAGATGATGCTGAGGTTTTGAGACCGGATGAATAGGAGGAGTAAAGCAGTAGAGCTGACACCAGGCTTTTTACAACTCACTTGACTTTGTTACTTTAGAGGGCAGTCTGAAGAGGAAGACTGACAGTGTCCTAGGATTATACAAAGAGAAGCACGCAGAACAGGGTCCAAACTAGACCAGGCTTTGAAGTCATGGTTTACCCTTTTGGGAAAGGGAAAGTTTAGACATGAAGCTGGAAAACAGGTGGCCAAAAGAATATTAATTAAATTTGCTATGGCACTCATTTATTATCCAAGAGAAATTATCTTTAATGATACAGCATGGTCACTTATGTAGCATCAAATTAGAAACTGAAAAGCTGGGTGGCAGAGTAGATCGAGTGAAGGAAGAAGACCTGATTTCAAAATCCCACCTCTGACACTTACTAGCTGTGTGACTCTGGATAAGCCACTTAACCTTCATTTGCCTCAATTTCCTCAATTGTAAAAGGGGGATAATAATAGCACCAACCTCCCACGACTGTTAGGAGGATCAAATGAGATAATAATGTGTCAAGTGTTTAGCATAATCCCTAACACATAGTGATACATTAGCTATTCATATTGATGGCCTCAAAGATAGCTTCTAGTTTTAATGTTATGATCAGATGTTGTCGCCTTGAATTTGTACCCATGCAGATGTGCACAATGAGTGACCAGAACATTTTGAAAGTATTTCTCTTAGTAGAAATATTTTTTAACTCTTAGTATGGTCAGAGCTACTTACAAGTTCTTTGAGTTCTTGTGGCCATTATGACTTTTTTAAAAATATTCTTTAACATTCTTTTTTAAAATTTTCAATTCCAAATTTTCTCCCTCCCTCTCCAGTTCATACCCCACTCATTGAGAAAGCAAGCGATATGATACTCATTGTACATATGAAATCATGTAAAATATTTCCATATTAGCCATGTTAAAAAGAAAAAGCAAGAAAAGTAAAGAAAGTTAAAAAAAAAAGTTTCAATCTACATTGAGTTAATCAGTTTTCTCCCTGGAGGTGGATAGCATTTGTTAGCACGAATTCTTTGGAAGTATCTTTGATCGCTGTAATGATCAGAGTAACTGAGTCTTTCATTATCATTATGATATTTCTGTTGTTGTGTACAATGTTCTTCTGGTTCTGTTCACTTCCACTTCATATCAGTTCACATAAATCTCACCAGGTTTTTCTGAAATCATCACCTTCATCACACTGGTATTCCATCACAATCATATACCACAATTTGTTCAGACATTCCCCAATGGATGGGCACCCCTTCAGTTTCCAATTCTTTGCCAACACAAAAAACAACTGCTATAAATATTTTTGTACATGTGGGTGTTTTTCCTTTTTTTTGGATTCTCTTTGAGGTATAGGCTTAGTTCAAAAGGTATGCAGAGTATTATGACTTTTTTGAAATGAAGTTGATAATCTTGCTGAAAGAACCATAAAAATTTCCAAAAGGCAATGACACTGGAGATTCCTGCAGTAGAATTATAGCAGAAAGTCTGATGTGAGAGTTTAAGAGGGAAGTACAGCCCTCATTTGGGGCTAATTCTCACTTCATAGAGCAATGTAACTAATGATCCAAGGAGGACAATGATAGTCAGTGAAACCATTTCTACCCCAAATACCCAGCACGGTGACTGTTACAGGGCAGGCCCTGAAATACTTGCTATATGAGTGAGTGAATCAGTGAATGGAATTCTTACATTTTTTTGTTACACAGGGCATTTTTGTGTGGTACTGAGAGGAAAGTGATCAGGGAAACAACCATTCACAGCCTGACATCAGTGTAGTATCTTTAAATCTACCTGGTACTGCTCCTTCTCTCTAAAGCCGTACCTCTCACAGTCAGCATAGACATATTCTGGCTCACAGGGATAAAAGGGACATTCATGATCATCTTGGGCAATAATTTCACTTTACAGAGGAGGAAACTGAAGCCCAGAATGGTTAAATGACTTGTTCAAAGTCCTAACAGTAGACTATGGAGGAATTTCACTGACCTTAGAGAGCTGGAGTTAGACATGATTTAATTCAACTCCTCTTATTTCAAAAACGAGGCAGGAAGGACACAAATATTTATTATGCATCTACTAGGGACAGCTAGATGGTGATGTGGATAGAGCCCCTGGGCCTGAAGTCAAGAAGACCCGAGTTCAAATTTGGCCTCAGTTGCTTACAAGCTGTGTTACCCCTGGGCAAGTCATTTACCCTTTGTTTGCCTAAGTCTCCTCATCCATAAAACGAGGATAATAATTGCACCTAACTCTCAGGGTTTTTGTGAGGATCAAATGAGGTAATTGCAGAGCACTTAGTACAGTGCCTGGCACACAGTAAGCACTAAATAAATGTTTAAAAAACAAACCCCCCCCCCCCGTCTTCCTTGGTTTCCTCATCTGTAAAATGGGGATAATAATAGCACCTACCTACAAGGGTTGTTTCAAGGATCAATCAAGACAATAACTGTAAAGTGTTTAGCACAATACCTGGCACATAGTAAATACTATATAAATGTTAGCAACCACTGTCATCTTCATCATCAACATCTACTATGTTCCAGGCACTGTGCTAAGTACTTGTCAAATATTCTCTCATTTGACCCTTAAAACAAACCTAGGAGGCAACTGGTATTATTATGGCCATTTCACAGTTGAAGAAACTGAGGCAGGCTAGAGGTTAAGTGACCTACCCAAGATTACACTGGTAGTAAGTGTCTGTGGTCACATTTGAACTCAGGTCTTCCTTATTCCAGGCCTGGTGCTCTATCTAGCAGCCTCAGAGAGCTTAAGCAACGTGTCCCAGTTGGTAAGTTAACAGAGATAGGATTCAAATTCAAGTGTCCTGATTTAGTTCTCATCCTATCCACAGGGCTGAGAAAAAGCCTGATGTTCTCTCCCTTATGAGTCATGCTGCTGGTAGGACCCATCAAAGGATCTGAAATATGTTATGGGAAAACCAGGTCAATGTGAGAAAAACGTGCAACGCATTAAAACTGGAAACATTTGAGAAGAGAAACAGGTTGCAGGCTAATGGCCATCACAGTCACTGTTAAATATTTCCTGGAAATTCAGATAGAAGCCATTTTCTTTTTCCTCTTCTTTAGTCACCATGGATAGACTCTCATAGCTTCCTAAGCTCACTATGATTCACTTGACACCCAGATCTGCCGTCCTACACATCTTGCCATGTGTTTCTGCTTTGTTGTGTCTATTTGGCTTTCTATTCAAAGGATGGTTGGCTCCATCCAATTCTGACAACAGCTAATAAGCATTTTTGTCCCTGGAGTGCCATTTTTGTTCCAAATTCTAGGGTTTATCATAAAGGGGATTCTTTTTCCTTCAATCTGTTCGTAAAATAATTTCAGGCCTTCGGCTAATTATTCTTATTTATTCATCATCTGCAGTATTCCCGAGCATTTCTGAAACCAAAGGAGATGCTTCTATGCTGCAGATGCTTCTATGCTAGAAAAGACAATGCAATGCATAAAACACCAGGTGAGAGGGAGGATGCATCTCATAGCTCAGAAATTGCCAGCTTTTTCCTCTAATTGCTTTGACAGTGAAAGACCTCATCAGCTCTGCACCTATTTGAGCTCCACAGCAAAGTTCCATCATACGGCACAAACAGCATGAATCTCAAACTGCATTCCATTTTTTTGTGGTTACTGGGGAGGGAATGGGGGGGAGGAAGTGGGTGTTTACATTAGACACAAACTAAAGCAGCATGCTCTACATAGAAACCTATACACAGGTTAACGTTTTCCTCCCAGAAATAATGCTCAAACATTACTGAATCCTCCAAGAATATACTGTTCAAAGACGTAGCAGCTGACAAGCAATTAAGACAATGGTAGTCATCAGCTTGCATAACAACAATCATAATAAAAGTTCCCAGTTATATAGTGCATTATGGTTTCTAAAACACATTTACACATCCCCTCTCACTCCAACCCTGCCTTCTTCCAAACGTCCCTGTTACTGTTGAGGGTACCATTATTTTCCTAGTCACTCACCTCCAAGAATCTAAGTATCATCCTCTGCTCCTCACTCGTGGTCGCCCCACATGTCCAAGCTGTTACCAAGTCTTCCCATCTCTACCTTCCCAACATTTCTTGTATATCCCCTTCTCTCCACAGCCATAACCACCGCCCTGGTAGAAGCAGTCAACATTGTACTTGTGGATTACTACCACAATAGTTTTCTGGTTGTTCTCCATCTCTAGACT